GGCAAGATGAGTACAGTTGACAATAAGGGACAGCAAGCAAAAATACAACACGTGCGTCTGTATTTTTTTATTTGTTTTTAACTTTTATTTATTTTTAACAAATACATAATTAATCGCATTCGAATAGTTACATAGGAAAATACACTTATACGTGATTTAATGCCACTAAACCCGAAGGTCCAAGTGCGTCTATATTTTTTTATTAAATTTATATTAATTATACATTTTTATAATAATAATTAATTATAAATATATCTTAAAGTATTTGTTAATTATCTTTATTTATTTTTTCTTTTTATATTAATAAATTATTTAATGATATTCACTCTCTTTTAATCACTTCCTCCTTACCTTTTCTTAATTTTTTACAATAAGATCATATCTCTTTAATTTTTAATCTTTTTTAACTTTCTAGTTCTTTTTTACTAACTGATATTATTCTCCATATATGTCTTTCTTAATCAATTGATAATTTTTCACTTGGTTTTGTAATTATAGTATTTTTACTGGTGCATATTATCTTCATATATCTCTATATTAATAATTCATATTTTTATTATTCTTCCCTCTATCCTTCTCCATTGTTCTTCAAATATATATATATATATATATGTATTTTTCTATCATTATTTGTCTTTTTTAACCTAATTTGTCTTTCTGTCTCTCCCTTTATCTATATTATAAATATTTTCAAGTTTAAACATAAAAACCATGACTTATTAGCATTATTATTTTGATATTTAATTTTTCACTTACCTTTACCTCTAATCATTTTTTTTTTTTTTGTTAAAACTTCACTTCTCATCAGCTTCGTCTTTCACATTTTATATCATCATATTCATTTCTCTACTCTACATATATATATATTTTTTATTATACTCCTATTTCTATCATTCTTTCTTAGGCATTACATGTTTGTATATATTTTAAGTTTAAATTTTGGAATGAGTGAGAAGAGATTTGAGAAGGAAATGATATCATCTATTGTATAACTTATTATTCAACATACAAAAAAAAAAATGTATATAACTTTTTTCTATTTCAACATATTTTTATTAGAAATAGAAAAAGATAAAAAAAAATTATATATCCCAATTTAGCATTATATATTATTTTTTTCTTAATCATTCATTGCATCTACATATTATTTTTCTTTATCATTATATATTCACTTACATTAATTCTCTATCATACATTTACCTTATTTTCTCTCTCTATAGTACTAACTCCCACACTTTATTAGTATTTTTTTTTTCTCCCATTATATATCATTCAATCTCTATTATTTATCTTTCCCCCTTGTCATCCATTCTTTATTATTTTTCTTTGGTCAATCACCAATATTATTATCAATCATATCTAAACTATAATAGAGTACATAATAGAATGTAAAAGAGAGAAGTCGCTTTGAGTAATAAAATACTATTAGAAGTCAATTTCTTTATTAGTAATGATAAAATTAACTGTAGATTCCTCCATGGGTGTTCTTCTTTAAGCTCCAAGTTTGGTTACCTCCATCGTGAGCTTTTTTCCTTCTTCTCCTTTATACCATAAATCAATCTGTGAACATATGTTTTGATGCAATTTTTCTTTGTCTTTCAAAAATGCTCTTTTCTATATTGTTTCATATAGGTATTGAACATACCCACATTCATTTACTGTTCAATTTAATCAACTAAACACATTCAACTAGAATCGAAGAAATCTTCAGTTGAATATAGCAAAAAATTAATAAAAAAGAATTACCATGCATGACAAAAACTTTTTTATTCTATTCAAATTTTGATTACATAATATAAAAACTCTTTTTGAATTGTTTCAAGTTCTGATTTTCCCAATTTTCTCTTGTTATTCTTCCTTTGTTTTTTCTTTTTTCAGTCACATAGCCCTAATTCAATAAAATAGGAAAGATCACATATATATTAAAGCTAATTCAATAAAATAGGAAAGATCACCTTGAATTAAACCAAAGGCAAGTTTGCCAAAAAAAAAAAAAAAAAACAACCAAAGACATGAATTAATATCTGCAACATACAACATAGAACCAAAATAATGATACCATGAATCACAATTATCGAGAAAAAAGTAGAAAATAGAAATGTAACCTGTGAATAATGATTGCCCTATAATTTCACCAAACTCCAAAGCAAAATGAAGCTATAAAATCAATTTTCACTACTTTCGGTTCTGCTTTCGCCTCCTCTTCAAAGGTACCCTCAATTTTTTTTGTCTTCATTTTTTTTTACTGCTGCCTTCTGCATGACATATAAGGAACAAATGAAAACCCTGAACCCAATTTTTTCACTCGAACTACACCTTGTAAGTTTGGCTAGACTTGTTTGCATTTATTTATATTGGCAAGCGAAAAAGAAATAATTTTCTTATTTTTGAATTATTTCTTATTTAAATAATAATTACGAGATCCATACCCTGATTATTATTAAGTTATATATAATTATAATTATATAGTATTATGGCCAGCATTGAGGTATATATAATTATTTCATGGTAGATTATTGTGTAATTATATAATATAATATTTTAAAATTTTTTTATTAATTCCTAGAATTATTTATTTTGTATCCTATTAATTTCTATAATTATTTATTATTTTTTAAAGTCTGTTGTATATTTAGCTCATTAAGTATTTATTGAGAATTTTTTCAAAGTCCAACAAGTGTTTATTAATGATTTTTTTGAAGTCTATTAGATATTTATTTGTGAATTTTAAGGAGAATTTTATTGTTATAACAAATTTTATATATAGTTGAGATTAAGATGTGAGGGATAACTTCAAACAGAGAAACGGAATGAAAACTGAGCATGCTTGGGAAAAAAGAGAGCAGTAGAGACATTAATTAATCTTCATCACCTCACAGGACATTTACATATCTGGCCATGAATTGTCTTACTGAACGTATTACAGGGAGAGGGTTCTCCAGATGGACAGCATGCCCGCAGTGAGGAACCTCAACTAATTCACAGTGCTTGTATGATGGATCTTCTCTATTTATTTGACCATTTTCAATTTCGCGGCACATTCTTTGAGCTATTGCTTTGAACTTCGCGTCTCTCTCTCCAACAATAAGCATAAGTGGTGTCTTGGACTGCTTCAAGTCTTCCCACAATGGCCTATGAAACAGAAAAGAGAACAAGGTTATTTCCCATATTTTCCATTAGAAGAATAAACCATATACACAACTTGTAAAAAAATATATACCATTTAATGTCAACCTTGATAAAAGAAAGAACAAGTTTTACATTAGGGAATATTTGGCCACAGCTTGATAAAACAGTGATGATGTGGTCAACCTTGGATATATGGCTCTTCAATGGGGAAGGATCACACTAGTTTTCCGAGTGTTTGGGGTGTAGAGGGTGTGTCTACTCTCTTCTTAGTTGATAAATATTCCCCAAGTGTAACAGCTTATACCATGAACAAACGGCATATATGGTATGCATAAATAGTATATATATAGTATGTATAAACATGGGATGTAAAAATTGTATTATACATCTAGGAGAATGATACACCAATAATGTTATCTCATAATGAAATCTTGCAACATGATTGACTCTTTTTACTTGGCAAGACATGTGAATCAGTATGCTTTCACTCATTTAATGCCACATTAATATGGTTAGATTTTATAACATCATGAGTGTATCAACTGTGGTATATCTACAACCAATTTTCTTCATTTTTAAGCTTCAGGTCTGTTAAATAAGATAGGCCTTCCTCTTACTAGAAAAACCGAATTTCAGGAACTTACTGCTGTCTCCCAATGCTTAGATCAGACAGAACTTTTGCGAGACTATGCAGATCGCCATGCACCAAGCGTTTAGCAACAATTTGATTGAAATTGGGATGACTTCTCAAGCTGTTTAATGCACAGAACCAACAAGAAATGAATATAAGGACAGCTTCTAAGAATAATTAGAGAGGAGCATATAAAATTAAAACTGCAGCAGAAAAAGACCAAGAAGGCACCTCTTCCACAAGCCTCCAGCATACCAGGTTTCTATAAAGAATTGTAAACCATGGGCAACAAGGGAACGAGCTCTAGAATCATCTGTAGCCCTGCGGATCTTTCTTGCCACTATATCCTCCAATCCGGGGCTTCCAGAAACTAAAATTGCTCCTTGAATCTGTACAGATTTACTTTTGTCAAACATTTGCCTGAGATGTTTTTGTTTTAACTTGTAATGAACATCAAAACTACAAACTCCGTTAAAGTACCTTATCACTAAACTTCAGGGCCATGTATAATGCAATTCGCGCTCCCATTGAGTATCCAACAAGAGTAACCTTTCCAGGAGTTATGTGTTGAACAAATTTAAATAGTAAATCGGCAACTATCTCCATTGACAATGTTGGATCCAGTCCAGCACCTTCACGACAGTGATTTTGCACCTTTGTTCCACCATGGCCAGGAAGATCAATTGAAACACATCTAGCAGATCCTGAGATAGCATTCATGATAGGAATCCAGTCTTCACCAGTCCCAAGAAAACCATGTAGGAATACTATACTATCCTGTATCAGCATAAACATGATGGATTAAGAAATGGAAGACGGAGCATACCCAAAAGTTCATCACCATGCTTAGATGGCTGCAATGCCGAGCCTTCTTTCGCAAGAAAAAGAATC